TATTCTTCATCGAATGAGCGCCATAATACCAAATGAAAATTCGTTCGAAGATCGAATGCAACTCATAATAGGGGCCAAAATATATATCGATTCAATTTTTTTCCAGAGTTCATAGACCTGCAGTACTCCGTTCTAATTTTACCACCCAGGTCTCAATTACTACCAACTCAACGTAATTTCTTTAAAGTTCGCCAAAAATCATTAAACTTTTGCTTGGGAAGTATTTCAATTCAAAAGCAATTTCAATTTTTTTTTCCTTACGTAGACGACGTCTTTTTGAATTTCTTGTCATATCTTCGGCATTTACAGTCTTATTGTTGAAGTATGGTACATATTTTCTTTCAAACTTCATTAATCTCAAGTACCTCCATCTGGCACCTACCTACTATAACTCAGCTCTTATCACCTTATTGAACCACCCTGATGTCAGTAAATTAGGGCTTACTAAAAACTGTGCTCTGGAATCCAGTAGAACTACTTTAGAAAAAAAATCATTTTTTATCGCCGAATGTGTGTATGTAGGGCCAGTGTAAAATATACATATAAAGGCGACGGCTAAAAAAAAATAATCGAAATACTTTACGACTCGGGCATGTACGGCGAACTATTTTTTGTTTGCCTGTAATCTAATGTACAAATCGCTCGTTTAATAATATACAGAATTAAGGTGGCCTCAAACAGATGCGATAACGATAAAAAGCAAGGGCCCTCAAACTGTTGTAATTTAAATTTAAAAATATTTTTAATCATTTTTCTTATAACTTTATTTCAATATGAAAAAACATCAGTCCAATTTTTCGAATATAGGCTAATCTACATTAGTTAAATAAAGTTGTGATTGTAATAAATTGCATACGTAATTTTGACACGTAAATACATATGTATGTATATATTTGTAACATTGAGTTAACTATGTATTAATATTTATTTTATATTAATATAAAAATAATTTTTGTCTTCATCTAAACGTATGTATGTAGTTCATATGTTTGCAGCTATAAATAATCTTAGCGATACGTATATGTATTATTTTAGATACTGTTTAGATTAGTGTTGTAAATTGTTAGTAGTCAATAAAAACATGAAACGGAACTATTCGTAATAATAGTTTTTAATAAAATAGATTGCAACAAGTTGTAGTTTAAATATAGCATAATTGCAAGGATTTTCTTTATAGAAACATATGTATGTATACATATACGTAAAAGTCTGAATGTAATTTTTTTTTTCTATAAGAGTCGCTAAGTATTTTTATATCCTTCAAATGTATGTTTTAATGTGTTAAATTCACGGTGCGCGCAGTTAGCTGCATTTGGTGCAATTTCTGATTGAGTTTTTGGTTATGATCCTTTAGGTAAGCAATAAGATCAGCCTGTCGGAGATATAAGGAGAGAGAGAACTTTCGTAGTATATATATTAGATTATTATAATTGATCATTTACGCACCTGCTTCTCCAAAAGTTCAGCTGTATTACCGCCAGGTTGCATCAATCCCAACGAACCGGACGCATTATTGCCACCACGCAGCGCATCTGGTGGTGGTGATGCCTTATTAAATTTACGCACTTTAGCTATAATATTGAAAAGAGTTATAAATAAATATTTAATTTTTAAATCCAAAAAACATGCACGTCTGCTCACAAATATAGCAACCATGTGTTGAACTCAAAACTATTGTCTCTAACATATTGAAGCCTGCAATATAAGAGACGGGCGAAAGAAAACCTTCTGCGCAATGTTCCCAAAAATTTACACCGTAATAGTGATGTATGCCAGCCTGCACAGCCAGTATCATGGAATTCCATAGTGATACCACAGTCAATGGTATACCCTTTTGCATGGCGGTAGCCCGATGGAATTCGTGATAACCATTCATGCGTAAATCATCGTGATGCTTTTTGATGAGATGATCGAATAGCTGTCAAAAGAAAATTGAAATGATAATTACTTATATATGTATATGGTAGGGCTGTGCGATTATTCGATTACTCGAGCAAGTTGGTTAATCAATTATTCGGTTAATCAATTACTCGAGTAATCAAGATTTTGATTACTCAAAACGATGATTAATCGAGTTACTTGAAATATGATTACTCAAAAACAATAATTTTGCTCGTTAAAAGAGTTTGCTTTGGAAAATGCTTATTTTCTTTTTTACATTCTGTATATGAACAAATTTTTTTTTGTTTTAATTTTTGAAAACAGAAACGTTGTGTTCAAAGTATCAATGAGCTTTAACTACTTTATACATATGTAAAGAGTTGAAATGTTGTTTACTCATTTTACTCGAAATGTTGATTAATCATAAAGCAAATTACTCAAGTATTTTTGTTTTTGGTTAATCAAAAATCTTGATTACTCGAGTAACTGAACTTTTGAGTAATCATAATTTCCAATTAATCGAATAATTGAGTTATTTACTTTATGATTAATTAAAATTTTGAGTAATCAATTAATCGCACAGCCCTAGTATATGGTTAAATGATTTTAAAACAAAACGCAAAAAAATACATAGCCTGCATTATTCATGCATAGTACTTACAAAAGTTATCACCCAAAACGTTGCACGTAAGTATAGCATAATAAAATACGCTTCACAACGTTTGTCCTCCGGCCAAACAGCAGCCAGCAGAATCCCAACAAACGAGATTATTGCTGAAATCAGCAAGTGAATGCTATACGAAAAAATGGAAATTCAATGAGATTTATGAATATACAGAAATCTTTAAGAATTAATTTCAGAGGGATAGGTCAGGGTGGTGCATTGTTATTGGCATTGAATTTACGCTTTTGAGTTCTGACTCATGCTCCAATAAATAAATGTTATTGTTCTTAAAACGTATTAATTAATTAAAATAGTGAGTGCTGTAGTGGTAGGGGCACTACTAAGCCCCGCATAAGTCAGGTTACTCTATAAGACGTTATCGGTAAGCTCAACTAACGGTTGACCCGGGAAACGTGCAGATTCTCGGGGTCAGACCAAAGGGAAAGGTGTGTTAATGTAGGTATATAGCCTGGTTTTAAATAAATTTAGTTGACTCCGTTCTACAAATGGACTTTTTAGGAAAACTTGTAGCAAAAATTAGACCATAACTGACTTTAATGTGAGACTTACCTAAAAGCCGGTATTGTTTTCAGTGCTTTAAAGGATCCATCTGAATTGGAACTCAAAACTGGATCGATCAGTTCCTGTGTATCGCTTCCCAAACTACCAGCACCTACACCGGTGATAGCGCCGCTTGTCATTGTTGTTGCACGATGATCGCCCATATTCATATATTGAGCACCTTGCTACGGAACAAAATTAAAATACAAGTTGTTTTTTTTTGTGGATGACTCATCGTACCAGAAAGCTCATACAGATTTCTGCCTGTTTGGCAGTGTGATTTACTAACTAATTTGAATAATTTTATTTTATTCTTACCCTAATTGAGTTGAAAGTTGGGCCCAAACTGACCATATGAACAAACAATGGCTCCGATTCAACCTCGCTGCTTGCTGGACTTAAATGCGCATTAGCTTATCTCTACCGCAAAGGCATGAAAATTGATTGCAATGTTATTTTCTTTATTTTATTGCAACACAGTTTTTCGCACTACGCTGATTGCTGATTGGAACGTTTACATTCCATATGTAATATACAAAAAGGCTTAAGCGGAAATTAGTCAAGAACGTAAACCTACCGGTACGTAAACCCGAGTCAGCTGACACGATCTGTCTTACCAGAGCGCCATGAAATGAAATCTCAACACCGCAGAATTTTTCTGTAGTTGTAGCCCGTAGCGCAGAAATCTGCGGAATTTAGATTATTCCGTGTCAGCTGATTTCTTCCTTCTATAGATAGTTGCCACTTCGTCAGTTTCGCAAATGGTAAAAAAGGTATAATTTCCTTTTCAAAATACGTTTAAAGTATTTGAAATTTACTATTGAATAAAGTTGTTTGTTGAAAACTAAGTAGTTTATATTTAGCTACGATCTATTATAGCACGAAAAATTGTAGTTGAAAAGGTAAGTTTATGAAAAGGCATTGATGAGTGGCAATACTGTATTAAGCAACACTGAGGGCTCCAGTAATCGACAAAATTCTGCGTATACAGACTGCGTTTAAGTATACGTTCTGCATTCTCAACTAATTTCAGCTTTATTTTGTTGACACCAAATCTACGAATTGTCAATGCATTTGCAATTATCACCCTATACTTCCGGTAGTGCATTCCAGTGGAAGTTTTGTGATCTATCCCTGTTCTGACATTCATTGTTTGTTGGATTTGCACAGTTTTTCTTTGTGAATGACATTCGCATTTAGCGGCGTTTGTGAACAGGGTTGCAAATTCGTTTGAAAGAAAAAAACAAATGTCAAAATAATACAGTGGGCTGGAGCGAACTAATTAAGTCTCCCTATTTTAAAGTTTTTAGTGCCTATTTCGGGCCTTTTTGGAATTTTTAGACGCTGAACACCTTTTGCAGAGAACACCTTTCAATTTTAGAGTTTAACTGTTTTTAATAGAGTAGCAGCACTATTCCGCCATCTTATTTATATTAACTTCACAAGATTGTTGTGCGGATTTCTCAAGGCTGGAATATTGCAATTAAATAAACAAGTTTGCACATAGGCTTCACTTAATACATCACAAATGTACAAAAACAAATAAATAAGCTGCGTTCATTTACTCCATTTATTTGCGTGAAATGCATCAAAAGGAAATGCGAAAAGTGCAAGTGTTTTTGCAAATAACTCTTTAATTAATTCCGCGCTCGGTTTATTATTATTAACGTTAAAACACGTCGACTGACACCACTCTCGAAATTGGTTTGTCCATTTTGGGCCACGTAAGCTTAAGTTTTCAATAGTTGTGTTTTTTTACAAATTATCCAGTAACTTGCCAGTAACTCTCCAGTAACTTTATTTCTAAGAATTCGCTCTCATAGAAAAAATTTGCAAAAAAGTACGCGAACGCTTTTCCAGTAATAATTTGCAAGTTTCGTGAACAGCTGATAAATTGGTTGTTTATTCGCAGCATATTCCCAATAAAACGATATATTTTATANTTTGCAAGTTTTTGCGTACGAAAACGCCAAAACATGAAAATTCGTAAAAACTTTTACTGGATTTTACTGGAAATGAGTAAAAAAACGCAACTAATGTGTTCACAGCTTAAATGTTCTATATTACACCGGCAGCTAAACTGTATGTCACCAATCGGTTTGGGTCGTAAATGCACTACCGGGACCAAAGTGAAAAAGTTTGAC